GCTTCTTAGGCGCGAGTTCTCCGCCAAACAGACGGCCAACGGATCGCTGCTCTCCATCGCAAACACAACAACAACAACAGTGCAGCGCTTTCGGGCCCTTTTGCGCCAAGAGTGCAGCACTGTGTCCATAGAGCGCTCTGTACATGAAAAGGGCACAAAATAGCGGTATTTGAACCGTCATAATGCATTTTGAATGGGAATCAGTGTCCAGTGAATGACACTTTGATTTCCCGACACTTAATGTTTGCCTAAAAGACAATAAAGTGTCAAATGAATGGCAAACAGACGACCGAATGGACGCGAAAACAAGTGTTTGCATAGAGTTTGGCGTAAACTCAGAGAATAAGGAAACAAATGCGAGAATTAATTGAAAATTTCAATCGCGAAGTCAATTGAGAACAGGATTTGAGACAAATTCTCGAAACAATACTATTTTGCCGACAATTCTTAACCTAAACCCGACTATTGGACAACAGATTGCAGGAATAGCAGCCAATTATCTCATGGTCTCACAGTTCAGACTCTGATTAGCGACACCGGCGCTCTTCGGGTGACCACTAGTCGTGTGTGTCGGCGATGAGTGGCCAACAAAAGGGCAATCAAGCGATGGACTCCTCGCGTGTGAAGAAAGCGTTGGAAATGAGAGGCGTTTTGGAAATCAAATGATTTTTATTTCACATTCTCTTTGACATCAGAATAGTTGACAAAATGGCGACAAAAATAGATTTAGAGCTTGAGTTTGGTTCTTCGCCAGTGTCTCCTTTTGGCGTTGTATCGAATGGAGTTCCCGGTCTTCATACGGATCCATTGAGGGACGGGTCGGTTCTGTCTTTGCTTCTTCGCGAGCTTGCGTTTGATTCGGAACGTCTTGTGGGCCGACTGTTGGACACGAGAACAGAGACAGGGATTAGTCAATGGATTGGGGATCAGATGGCGAGAAGACAAACCATTTCGTGAGGACTCGAAGACGCGTTTCTCTCAAACGATTGAAACGACGGAAAGGGAAGTGAAGAGAGAGAGAGAGAGAGAGAGAGAGAGAGAGAGTCGTCCACAGAATACGTCAAAAAATTGTGTTTTATTTGCAGTAATATTACAATTGATTTACAATTAAATACAAAACAATAAAATATTATAATTAGAGGAAAATCATTGATTTCGGGATAAAAATAATGACAAATAAATCCATTTTAAGCCAATAAGAGCCAAATAATGAAGAGTAAGGCGACCCAAAGGAACACTTTGGAGAGGAACTGGTCCTCAGCGAACTCCGGGCTGTGCGGAGAGGGCGCGGGTCTGCCGTCGCCGAAGTTGAAGGTCGACGCGAAGAAGCCGAAGGGAAAGGCGCCGATTCCGAAGGACATGTGGAACCCGCCGTCACCGAAGCCGAAGTTCGGGAATGTTTGCTGTCGTCGAAGACATGGCGTGAGATGAGAGGCAAAGAGAGCAATGGGTGACACTTACGGCATTGTATTCGGGTTCCGTTCGCTGGCCCTGAGGTCGCGGTGGAAGGCGTTGGTCTCTGCGGAGGAATGAGAGTTAGAGAGGAGACGAAGACACGAAGACATGAAGACATGTAGAGGCAAACCGCGGGTCCTTTTTGGCGCTTCCCCTGCCGTACAAAGGGATCACTTTATCGCGACTGATGGCGGCCTTACAGACGGGACACGTCTG